TAAGTAAGGAATATAGATAGTTAGAAGTTAAAGAATTAGAAGTTAAAATAAAGGGAGACGAAGTATAAATAAAATTTAAATTTAAGAGATTTTTATATTAAGTAGTTAATTATAAAAGCTATTATAGTACTAAATTAAAAAAAAAATATATCTTTTCTTAATATAGTATATTTATAATATTCTTAATAGCTACTATATTAATATTATTATTAGTTAGTATTAGTACCTTATCAGTACTTATTAGTGTTTGCCACTATGTCTCTACGGAAGATAGTAGTGCCGCAAAACATACTTTATCCGCTATGGCAAATTCATCATCACGTGTCTATTACATAACCTGGAATGATGACGGGAACGAAGTCGATGATGTATTCATCATCCAATTAGAAGCTTCCAATTAAACCTTCGGGATGACGGAGTTATATAAACCCGCATGGCCCAAACGCCTGCTGAGCTAATCCCAAAACAGCTAAACTCACGTGGTATCACTTTAATTTTTTTTTTTTTTTTTTTTATGATGCGGATAGCGGAAAGGAAAAAAAAAATGGTAGCAGCTGCAGTAGAAAAAGACATCGTGAGCAGGCGAGTTCGTTGACCACGAACAAAAGGTCGGAAGTTCTCCCAGGTCTTGCGGAGCGGGATTCATTCATTTTGACTTGAACTCAGACCGCCCATTGACGCTGCGGACGGACACTGGAAGACTTGTTCTCTTCTTCTTGATATACTACAAGAGTATCTCAAAAATTTATACAACCTGCTCAACATGGGGAAGAAGAGTTCATCTCGAGCCGTATCGAGGGTATCTTCTACCGCTGCCCCTTCCGCGGCCTCTGCGACTGTGAATATCAAGAAATCGTCCATCATTCGCTCAGCCTTTTCCCCGTCAGAATTCCAATTGGCGCTCTTTGCGTCCGTCATCCAGGGTCTAGATGCGCACCATATCCGGATACACAGCACTTCTTCGGGCCGTCTCCAGTGCGAGCATGCGGTTAATCCCAAGGAATCAGTTACTTCTCTGGACTGGGGATACTATGGGGAAGCTTCGCGGGGTGACCAGCCGATGAAAAAGAGGCGCAAGAGACATTCTGGTGTCAATGGTATTGCTGCTGGAGCGGAAGACGATGCGGGTGCCATTGTCGTTGCGTTCGGTACGAGCACATCTGAAATTAGGATGTATTGCCCTTCCGAAGACAAGGTCACCGGTGTTCTTACCGGAGGACATGAGAAGGGGATCAGAGATTTCAAATTCACCCTAAAGAGGCCTGCGCAGGAAGGGTGGAGTATTGGCGGTGATGGGAAGCTAGTACAGTGGAATTTGCGCAAGGGAATTTACGTGAGGTATGTGTATTTGTGCCTCGTTGTGTTTGTGATATCCAGGGCTAATTTGTTTACAGAGTGATTTCCTTACCGTCAACTTCCGTATCTGCCCTGGCTCGACCAGTACCAGCAAACCCACCGGTACTATGTGCTTCTCAAACACCCTACCTAATCAGCCCACACGACGAGGCTACCAATACAGAACCGTCATTCAGTTCGATGAAGAATATCGTTCATTCTCTAATCTCTTCTAACACCGACTACACCGATCTATCAGGGCCCTTCCTTGCCTCTGATTCTGACCGCTATATCAACGTCTTCAATCCCAAGCTTAAACAGCTTCTTGGCTCATTGGTTGCGGATAAGGAAATAGACCTAGTTTCCCTATATCCTGGTTCTCACAAAGGGAGCAACGAGAGCGAAAACTCAGGCCAGAAACAACAGCTAGCTGTTGTCACTCGTGATGGCGCAATTGAGATCTTCTCCAACCCTTTCCATAAATTTGGTGACAGCTCTGCCTCCAGTACCGCTGGAGCCAGTCTCAAATCGCTCCGAAAATCCATGACCCGTCGGCCAGACGCTGTCATAAAGCTGGTTAAGCCCGATAAAACACGCTCACCTGTTCCCGTGGTCTCCGTGTGCTTTGATGGTGCAGACCTAGTGGTTGTTTGGGTTGAGGGAGGCATAGACCTGGTTTTTGATAGGATACCGTGGCTTGATGAAACAACGCAGGAGCTGATGTACAATGGTGAAACGGAGTTGGTGCGCGGCAAGTCTTCCTCTAACATTGGTAACGCTATGATGAACGGTGTCAAGGATCTAGGCAAGACTCATGTGGATGAAAGCCATGCCATTGTCGAGCAAGGCGGATTCGCCGAAGGCGTCGATGATGAGGCAGAGGAGGACGAAAAGTCAGAAAACGACGATGACTCAGATGAAGAGCTGGACGATGCAGACCCAACTTCCAATGCCCTAACAAATACCAATGAAGATGTTGAAATGGCAGACCACACAGATGCGGAGGATGCAGCTGAACCCTCGTTTGGCGAGCTTCTGGCTTCTGCTCCCCAGACCATCAGTGTCTCCGCAGACTTTATGGACAAGACCTCCCTGCTTCAATCAAAAGCTCTCCCCACAGAATCTCATCAGCTCCCTGCCGGCCTCTCCCTAGCAACTGTCCTCTCTCAATCTCTCAAAACAAACGACAACACTCTACTAGAATCTTGTTTCCATACAAAGGACATGGCTATAGTAAAGACAACCGTTCAGCGGCTCGATTCATCCCTTGCAGCTACCCTGTTGCAAAAACTAGCTGAGCGTCTGTCCACTCGTCCAGGTCGGTACGGACATCTACTAATGTGGGTACAATGGACATGTATTGCCCATGGTGGCTCCATCGCCTCCAACAAAAGTGTTCTCAAGAAAATCAGTTCACTGTTCAAAGTCATGGAACAGCGTTCAGCAAGTTTACCTTCCCTCTTACTTCTGAAGGGAAAGCTAGATATGCTTGAGGCCCAACTCGCATTGAGACAAAGCCTGCAAGGCCGAGATGGCCGTGTCATTGATCCTGACGAAGAACGAGTTATCTACGTTGAAGGACAAGAAGATATAGCTGATGAAGATGACGATGACGCAGAATCAATGCAACTTGTTGCCGAAGATGAACATGTTCCCAGCCGTAAGGACGCCCGCGGTATCCTAGAGGATAACATGTTTGCGGACAAAGATGGCGACGAAGATATGCCCATGATGAATGGCGTCGAGTCCGACGAAGAAGGGGGACAAGACGATGAAGATGAGGAGGAGGAACTTCTCGATGTCGAGGCAGAAGTCTCCGACGATGGTGAAGATGAGGATGACGACGAAGAGGAAGATAGTGATGAAGAGCCCAACTATGAAGAAGAAGCAAGTCTGTTGGAGTTCCTTGCTAATTCAGACGAAGAGTCTGAAGTATCTGATACCCCTGCCACAAAATCGAAGAGTAAGTAAAGAGGTTTATCTCCTAAACGTCGGAGTGAGGAGATATAAAAAAGGGCAATAAATGGAGATTAAAAATCCGTATAGAATGGAATGGCTTCTTCTCTTTCCCAGTTTTTCTTTTTACACCATTTTATAGGCTGGATTATATCTTTTTTTTTATCTTATTTTTTTGGCATGTATCTATTGGGCGATTACAATTGTTCAAGTCAGAGGAAGTGAGGTCGATTCCATTGTTATGTTTTTTACTTGCTTATCATGCCTTGCCTCTCTGCCTGCGAGTCTATTGTTTGTGTTCATTGACTTATAAAAATATCTCTTTATTGCATTATAAAGCTATTAGTCTTTTTTCTTCTACTGAGTCGCCCCGTCGGCTTTGGTACGCTACGTGTCTGTCAAATTGCGGAAACTTAAATCGCTCGGAGCAAACCAGCCAAGATTCCAGGGTTGATGTAAAGGGCGAAAGGCGTGTCTATAGTTTTCTATCCGGGGGCAAACAAATGAAAATGATAATAGTTAATGATATTCAAGCAGCACACTTTAGGTTCCAAAGGTATAGGTATAGTAGACGTCGTACATGCACGCTCGACGCCTACAGAGGACGCTGCTCAGGGGAGTTCCTTTGGTGACAATGTTGAAAATAGGGGCATCGTACTCGGTACTACCAACCGGCTGCATCTACCCGTCCTATCTAATAACTTCCGTCTCCTTCTCAATACCCTCCAGACTCTCTAAGATTGCACTCCCGCCCAGTACTCCGCTGGTACTAGCGATGTTCTTGGGCGTCCCACTCCAGACCTCGTGGAATTTAACAGACTCGTCACTGGACGCCACAATGATACATCCTTCTTCGGCCGTGCGTGACCACCATGTATCCCCTTCCTTGTTGGAGGCAGATGACTGGGAGTCATCGGAACTGGTATCACTTCTATTTGGGCCGTGTCCGTGATGTCCGTGAGATACAGGATCAGCAAGCTGACGAGCCATTTCGTTTGGCCCACCAGGGTAGCTAATTGCCCAAAGTGCGCGCCCACAATCTCCTGGGTTCAAACTCCCAAAGCGTTCATGTCCTGTAGCTACCGCCCAAGGGATAGCGACGACTTGCTGGCAGCTTGGCCATGCAAAGACTGCTATCCGGTAAGGATGTTCGGGAGACGCGTAGCCAAAGGTTGCAGCTATCTCGCGACGGGTTTTGCTCCATATCAAACTGGTTACCTGTGAGTGGACATTGATAATTGCTAGACATGCGCCAGAAATAGCGTGGAAAAATCGAATGCATCGATCGTTCGTGCCGCCACCCGTCGCTACAAGGGTTGGTTGCCATGGAGCAAAAGCGATTGCTTTCACCGCGGCAGCATGAGTGAATTTGTGCTTCTCTGATTCCGCCGGGATATAAATTGGTTTTGTGGAAGGTTGGTCCTCCACAGCCCCTTTGGGAGGACTAGGGGCCCCCGTTTCCGGCGTACTCGTTCCAGCAGATAGAGTGCTGCCGCATGAATTCCCACAGTGGAAATAGGACTGAAGTAAGCATAACTTACTTGAAAGAGTAGACCCGGTACTTAAACTCCTCGCTTTTCCAGGTGAGTTGACAACGCACTCTCCGGATCCTGTCTTCTTAGTGAGTTCAACGACGTCGAAAATAAGGCAAATATTGTCGTTCCCGCCGGTGGCCAAGAATCTTCCATCGGGAGACCATGCTATACCACAAACCTGCTGGGTATGAGCCGAGATCTTTGCGAGAAGACGTATTGCACCATTCCAATTGTACCGTTTCCTCCACTTGGCATTTGTCCATTCCACGGAATAGTACCAAACCTGCCCAAACTCGTCTCCGATAGCAAGCTCCTCCACGTCAACTGAGGTCAAACCATCCCGGCTTGATGTCCTGCGTGTGGTGCATCCCTTGAAGCAGGCACTGGATGCGCCGTGCGGAAGTTTCAATTCAAACCGAGGTTCAGAGTCGAAGGTGCTCCACAAAGTGACTCGACCGCCCTGACGAGCCACGGCCAGGATACTATGTCCGCCCGTATGTGATGAGAACGACAAAGAAGTAACATAGTTCGAAGGTGGATAGTCCTTGAATGGAGGGTGCTTCACAGCTGTTCCCTCAGACCATATGTAAACTCTGTGTCCGAGGCCAACGGCAAGCACCCGAGCTGTATAGCAATATGCTAATGTAGAGCAGTAGAAATCATCTCTGAGGAGAGGTGCATCAAGAACACGAAAGGGAGTTGATGGTACCGGACGAGGTGGCTTGGGGCCCGGCTTCTTAGGGGAAACTGCTGAATAAGTTAGCGAGATAGCTATATTCTCATTTCACAATACGGTCAAGTCTACATGGGGAAGAGAATAGAGATCTCTTCAACACTCACACTTACGAGACTTTGAATCATCAGTTTTCCAGACATTATTGCTCCATCTGTCAGGAGAGTTAAAAGATGGAATACGCTTGTCTTGAAGCGGACTTTGTGGAGTTGAATGTAGAACCCGAGCTGCGTGGTCAACGTTTATTGCGTAAGCGAGACGTGTTTCATATGCAAGATCATCCTGTATTTGGCTTCTGTCTGTGAGAAAGTCTGCAATATAGAGAGGAGCTACAGTGCCGCTCCCAAAGAGACCCCCCCGTCCATCACACACCATATTACGAGGAGAATGTCGGACTCCTAGGCCTCCTTGGAAGCTCCAAACCGCATAAGCTCTGGACCTATTAGTGTGCGCAATCTCACCAGGATTGGATGGATGTTCACTAAGAAGGCCATGGTTTATATAGCGAGGTAGTTGGCGAGGTGATATTCTAGGATCTCCGATTTCGACGCCTCTTTGAACGGCCTGATAAGGATATGTAAAGATATTGGCAGGGTCATGGAGCCGCCGAGAACGTTCGACCGGTGAGAGCAGAGCTGGATGTCTAGACAGCCTAAATGGTAAAGATGATGGGTTGTGCGGATCCCTGATGGGCAAAAAACGGTCTGGAGATCTCAGGGGGTTGTAAGATAGCATTGATGAGGTTGTATGAGATGCTCTAACATCTTCCGTATCCACCCCCAGTCCAAAAGAATCTTCAAGGTCCTGGATTAAAAACACATCGTTGCTAGAAATACTGCTGGCAGCTGTACGTTGGCTGCGGTGAGAGTCCGCAGGTGAAAACAAAGCCGAAGGTTCAGTGTCAGTAGGAGAAGCCGGGGTAATAAGAGGGGACTGGGTTGATTGTCTGAGAGGTTCAGCTTCTGTAGACAAGGTATTGATGTTGATAGAAGGTCTTTCTCTGGATAATAATGGTGCCTCTAGTTCGTCACTGCTTAATGGCATTCTCGCCGCCTGACAGCGTAAACAACGGGTACATTAGTACTTCATGAAAGCCGTATGTACACAAGTAAGAATACAGAGCGTCGGCTTCACCATTGCTGGGCGATGAATGTTTCATGCTGGGCGGTTGTTTCGCCTCGACCGGAGCCGCCATCGTTAACAGCTTCTCGCCTTCCCTTGAAGAGAGATGTCGTTGTGTTTTCCCAAATAGGAAACTCTGACATTGCTGCTGAGTAAGTCTATTTGTATAAATGACAGGCGAAGAGGAGGGCTTCAGGGGGCTGTTACCGTCAGAAAGGCATAAACAGAAGTAGAAAGGAAAGACCATGAGGCTAGCGAGTAGAGGATCTTCATGCTCCGGTTGGCTCTCTAGCTAGCAGTGTAATCCTAAATCCCATTTGATGTGTGCCTTTACACTCCCGGTCCCCATGCTGAGTGCAAGCAGAAGTCATTGAATGGGTATCATTCAAGTAATGCGTGTTCACTTGATGGTGGAAAAGGCATCAGAGCATTTCACAAAGGTATCGTAACAAGATGACATAACTACGCCAATGGACGAGTTTTAACTGAACAGGACACTCAAGGCTACGTAGTCAGTCATTGATGGAAGAAGATAATTTATAAAGACGATAGCTTCAAAGCTTTGATACGTTTATCCAAATTTTGCCTCAAGAGTCTTGCGCAACTCCTCCGCATGAGAGGAATACGAGGCTAAAACACCAGGACGCCGTTCACTCCTAACTCCATCCGGATATGGAGGTATTGTCCGTTGAACCAGATCCACCATTGCGTTGCATTCATCTTCGTACGTGCGAGTGAAGAGGGTTTTCCAAAGTTTGGTATAGCCATTCATCTCGCGCTTAAGAGGGGGGTCGGTATACATCCGGACAAGGTCCCAGTATTCGGGATACCACCCTGCACGTTCCCAGTCAACGATGGCGTTGATGTGGCCTGTATCATCGACTATGATATTTCTGGGTGCTAGGTCTGCATGGGCAAAATGAATGGTATGGTTGTTGCCCAAGTCATGAGGCTCACCCTTGCCCAAAGCATGATGAAACTCCTGTTCAGTATCATAAGGTCCTAGATAACGCCTTTGATAGAGACCTACGTCTAGTGCACCACCATCTGCTGCCATAATTCGATCGCCCGTCAGCTTTCGAAGTTGAGCGAGATATCCATCGATTTCGAGACAGGTAGCTTTTCTCTGACTCTCACTTAGGTCATTCCAAGCGACATTTAGAGGCTTGCCGGGTATATATTCCATCACAATATAAAAATTCTTACCCTCTTCCCTATCGACGTACCGCGCCTCAAAAACCTTTGGAACAGGAATGGTTGTTGTCTTAGCAATCAACTCCATTGCTTGCCTCTCTCCAGAATCGTCAAACTTCCGTTTTAATACACGGCTCTCATCCAAGCGAATGGGATGCATCCTTGGGATCAAAGGATATCCACATTCCTGGCCATAGCCCTCTGTTAATTGAACTTGAATTAGCATTTGAGGCTACGGTATGTATGTTTATATTAGAGTCCTGAGATTTGGCCATATAGTACCTTTAGGAGTAAAGGGGTCCACGGCGTCTGAATCAGCCATTGCAGAGTACGCAGGTAGCTACAACTAAAGCCTCCAGTTCTGTAAAGTGTGGGTGAGAGCTAAACATATATTAGCCCCATTCTAATGATGCGTTGACGAGACACATTTTAGTTACCGAGTATGAAGTGCGGGGCACTTGCAGCACAGTTAAAATGAACACTTGGAGAGATGCCCCAGAGCTGTGAAGATTGCAATGAGATTCGGGTTAATGGTGTCTGCCGTGAAGCCTCCAATGTAACGATGCCCTAGAGAGGCGATGGTGAATAAGGATCCCTAGACTCAGCGGGATGACTTCGGGCGAACTCTCTGCGGGACGGCAGCTACCTTAAATAACCCAAAGAATGGAAAACTCTGCTTAGTCATAAATAGTTAACTTAGTTAGCAAGGGGCGGACTGCAACCAATCATGTAACGAACAAAACGTAACAAGGAGGATCCCGAGGTGTTCTATTAATATCGAATGGATATCTCCCGCTCAGGTTCCTTTTCATTCCATGTACTCTGTACCCGGCGCCTATAAGCTCCCGCTCCTTGAAGTTGATCAGCTTCTCATTCCGCTCTAGCAACCATCAGGTGAGCGATTCGCCGAGCCTGCTTGTCCTAGACCTTGTAAACTTGTTTCATGACTGGCTAACTTCCAATAACCTAGGCTAATCAATAACAGCACGTCTACGCAGTTAGGCAGAGAACCCATGAGCCGTCCACTGTGTCTTCCATTGGAACTGTCCGCTACTAAAATGGGATGGTGCATTCTCTTTGTTCAATCCTTGAGCGTTATGGCGACAATCACATTGGACGCGTGTCTCCATGCATGGATCTACCAACTCCGCCCCCAAAACTGCATCCACTAAGCGCCCAGCCAACATTTACATGAAATGATCATGCATGGGACAGAGTATACCCACAGGATTCTAAGCTTGATTAGGCAGTTCCAGCAACCCCTAAGAGGGCTGCAACTCCGAGCTGCCAATCCCCGCTCGTTTGATGACAATCATGAGATGGGTGGCAGCCTTCTGAAATGCTCAACCCTGCCATATCTGATGCTACTAACACAATATTGAATGGGTACCTAAAGAGGTGAGTAAAGGAATAGGATCCTCTACTGTGTAATTCCCCCGATTTTCAAAATAAATCACCTGTTAACGCGAAATTTTATAGGATAAGCCATACCCATATGGTCGTGCGAGATGTAGGTTCCCTAAACACTACAATGGCGAGCTGTATCGATATTCCGTACGCAGAGACGCAGGTTCATTTAGGACAGCTTCTAAGCGCCGAATCTGCCTCTTTTATTCTATTTGCGTCTAGCAGATTTTGATACGGTGAACCCTTGCCAGCCGTTCATGTGGGATAGTGTCCTATTGGACACTTCTGTTGGTCGGGATTGCAGTTACGGGATCAGAGTGTTGCATCTATACCGAGACTTATACCCAATATGTGTTATCATTGGTAGCATCATGGCCTAACCGCCAGCTATGCATGTCTATATTCATCTTGCCCCGTTAGTTTCACTCGCAGAGACATTCGGGCCATTTACTGGTTGTAAGTTATTGTTAGTAACAATTCCTTGTGAAGTTCGCATCCCTTACTAACCCCCAGACCTGGATCGTTCTTGCTGGCTGGGAAAGAGATAAAAGGGAGCACAATTCCCACTGCGATGGAATTTCTCAACAGCCAGAATTCCAAGCCAGCAATACCATCTTATTTCATCATACTTCCCTACGAACAACCTACGGACTGCAACCAAGGACTGGGTTGCTTGACTCCCAAATTTTACACCCGGTCTCCTCGTTTTAAGGCATACATTCGCTTGTCAAACCTCCCACAAACTCTCAGTTGAGCCTCTAAACCTTGTGGCCATCACAACTCTATTGTCTTCCGAACTACTATCCCTTTTCAGTTCACTACAATGAACAATTTCAATATCCAACTTCTAGGCTGGCCCGGGTCAAAGGGAAAAGATGACAAGCTTCACCGCCATGTCGCACTTCTCGTCTTTAATCCAGTCAACGAAAGGGGAGACTTAGTCCACGTGAGGGGTACATCGGGTACCTTTGAAGCAGTTTGTTTGGAAGGATACGATCCTCTTACCAGTAATAATCTTCTTTATCGCAAACATATCTGTCAAGTTTCGAAGCCCCAAAAAGAAGTTCGCAATATCTGCCTATACACTCCTGTTAACAACCGCGAAAATGGATGGAATTGCCAGAACTTTGTGGGTGATATGTTAAATCGATTGGTGGACCATGGGGTGATAACCACGGCGGATAAGGACGCTGCGATCGACCATATGACCGATTTCATACTCCAGGGGGTGGACCAGGATAAGTGCTAGCGAAATGTTGCTGAGTTGATTGCTGATAGGTTGCAGAGGAGAGGAGAGGAGAGGAGAGGGGCCTTTTCATGTCGTTTTGATTTCTATTGGTTTGTCTAGTTAGTGGTGTTAAGACTAGTGTACTTACCGTGGAAGCATTTCAAGTTATGGTGTAGCTATCGGCAAACTACCTTCTTCCCCAAAGTTTGCTAGAGAGAGCATCTTGTTTCCTACATAGGGCTGGGTTGTGGTACAAAAACAAAAATGTAACTTTTCTTTTGACCAACTCAACTTTAGCTAGTTAGTCCTAGAAGTGAACCAATGAAAATTTATCTATTTTAGTATTGGTCAGCTAAATGTTAAAATTTACCCAATTAAACTTGTAGATAGAAAACTTTTTTGATAAGGTTGCAGCGAATAACATTCCCGCAAAGCTGGTTCGTTACTAATAAATCGAGGATCAACAACGAGATAGAACGAACTTCACGGCATAAAGAAAAGTCGCAAAGGAAAAGAAGAAGATAACGTGTTGGGGTTAATAATAAAGGAACCAATATTCATTGATACGTGTACTCAGATATTCATAAACATGTCAAGCGTAAGTAGTGTGCCACTGCCGTGTGTCTTTCGTGTACATGATATTAATTTTTATATAGCATGGAGTTCTGCGGCAATCTGCAGCAAACCAGAGAACAGAGGCGCAGCGGCAAGCTGAGCTCACAGCTATCAATGAGTACCAAGCACTCGACACACTGGTACTTCAAAAGGTGTTTCTTTTTGCCATGTACTCTCTCTCTTGAGAGAAGTCAAGCTGATTACAGGGAAATAGAAAGCGAAGAGTGAATTCTCAAAGGAAGCATTTGACAAGACCTCCGAACTGCTTCTAAAAAATGCAGAATACTATACCGTATGGAACTACAGACGCATGATATTGCAGTCAATGTTTTCAGAGTACTCCACTCAGGAAGGACAGCCGACCGACCATACTCAGCAGCTTATCCAGCAGGACCTGGTTTTTCTTGTGCCACTGCTACAGAAGAATCCGAAATGTTATTGGATATGGAATCACCGTCTATGGCTTCTACAACAAGCCACTGAACGTCTAAGTTCTGCTGTTTCGCGCAAGTTTTGGGAAACCGAACTTGGTTTGGTAGGGAAAATGCTTAATAAGGATGGACGGAATTTTCATGGCTGGGGATACCGACGGGCGGTGATCGATGCACTTGAAAATATACCTGATGGACCATCCGAATCTACGGGGAAGGAAGCCCCAAAATCTATGACCCAGGATGAGCTGGATTATACCATGAAAATGATTGGAACCAACCTATCGAATTTCTCGGCATGGCACAACCGGTCTAGATTGATCCTGAAGGTCTTAGACGAGAGTGCAGCTGATGATGAAAAGAGAAAGAAGACACTTGATATCGGTTTGTCTCCCTTTTATCTTCCCACTGTATCAAAGTGCATGACGTCTAACAATATACAGAGCTGAGCCTCATTCATCGTGCATTAATCGACCCATATGACCAATCAATTTGGTTCTATCACCAGTACTTAATGTGCGTCTGCGACATAGAACTTTCTTCTCAGACAATGGCGCCGAACCTGACTACCAAAGACCGTCTGCAGTATCTGGAGCAAGAAATTGAAGCTATCGAAGATATACTGGAGGATACTAACGACTGTAAATGGGTATATCAAGCGCTGATCACCTACACTTTGCTTGCTGCTAAAATTAACAAACATGTGGATGACGTGCAGCAACAAAGGATATCAACATGGCTCAGCGAATTGATGCGACTGGACCCATTGAGAAAAGGTCGATGGGACGATCTCAAGGAGTCCTTAGCTACGCCAGATGCGTTAATATCAAAGCATTGAGATAGACTTGGTGAAGGAATATGTAATTGAAGCCCCTTTGCATATAACGCTGAATTCTGTTTCAACCGAAGGTTCTCTGTGGCCGCTTTGCGTACACTGCCTTCAAGAACTGGCTTCTTTGACCCTATTATATGCCTTCTGGCTATGGCGAATTGTTGACTACAGTTGTCGCAGGCTAACTAGGCCCTGCAGACATCAACACTGTGCCGTCCAGGTGGAGATTCCAACGAAATTTATAGGCGTTTATTGACATGAAATAGAAAGCTACGCATCATATAAAAATGTTCCCCGAGAAAATATGAATAACGGGAAGTTAAGTGCTTCTATGAATGCATCGACCTTGTAGTATCGGAAGCCAAAACTTGCTCACGAGACCCGCCACCTGCAGCCTCCCTAGAGGGAAGATTCGAAGATCCTGGTCGTTATGAGTGAAGAGAGGTTGGATAGGTCTCGCTGGCCTTAGGACAGGTGAATCTACAAAAAAAAAAAAAAAAAGGGCTCGCCACTCCGCACATTCATGATAGAAGCTGATAGGGACTACTGTTGGCCTCTACTTACCAGATAACGAAGATAGGGTGCATTGGAGGCCTATGACAGATCAGATAGCTGGTACTCCGTATATATATTTCATATATCATAACCCCTGGACCATGGCGCCAGGTATCCCGGCTTCCCGGTATACGGGGCATCTGTAGAAATCGGCAGATCCCAAGACGATCCTCCCTGAAAGAATGAACACGGGCATCAATCTGTAACAATTGTCCTTTGGCTGCAGTGACCCTTAGACGACCTGTGAAGAGCCGTCTGTTGCGTCTTCACCCATGTCCCACACAACCGAGTGCCGGATGCGAGTGGTGGTGTCCTTTCGCTAAATTCACCGGCCGCCAGTTGAGCCAGTCAAGGATCATTAAGCGTCACCGAAGTAAATTGAGTTGAATGGTGAAACACGCCTGAAGATGCGCTTGACGCAGCCAAGGGGTTTCGACTGGGCCGCAGGATCCAACCAGCCCGTCCGCCTGCCCCAGAAGTCGGGGGATCGATCATAAAAAAAAGATATCCTGTGTATCCGAGAGTGCGTAATCACCCCTTGTCCTCGCTGGCAATAGCAAAATAACTCGGCTGTGACGAGCGAGACGCAGAATATCAGTCAAAACCATCGACCAAGAGGAGAAGGAAAAATTAAGACATTTTATTTATTATTATTTTTTTTGATAGATGTTGGAACGTGACCCCGAGAGATAAGATCATCAGCCTCTTCCCTTTTAGGCAAACATCATCGCCAAATTCAACTCCGACCAAAAAATAAAAAAAATTAGGACAACCGTCAGCCAACCTGGTATTTATTTGATATATTACGCGACCTCGACAACCCTGCCGTATATCGACCCCGAATTTCCTCCACCCATCTTCCGAAGTGTAACGTTACGTGTTGTCCCAACTGGCTAGGGAAAAAGGTGGTTTCAAGTCGGACCGTGGACCCCAAAGACGCTGCAATTCTCCGCTGCAATTCAACCTCCTCCCTCTTGTCTGGGGATTCCATATGACGATAATTATACACTATGGTTGTTAGTCCGGAGAATACTGACTATGAAGCGGTAGGCAATTCCCCTTCTCATCAGTGCTCTCTGAACTTTGCCCTGCAGCAGCAGCCTTGGGACACGGAGGACTCACGTAACTATCATTAGGACACCTTTGAAGACGCCCGAGATACAGCACAAGACAGCGATAACCCAAGCTCCTCCAAGCCTCCTCGGTCTCTAACAGATAGACGGCCTTCCAGCAGCTCTGCAAGGTCTCCTTCCACTCCCATAGCGACTGAAGTTCCTCCGCTACCGGTACCGTCTTCCGAGGTCGAGGAAGATGGACAGAGCTCCGTTATAACCTCACCCGTATCACAACTGGGAGAGGATACACCAAGGAAACAGAGACGGCCAAAGTCACCGCTGCTGACTACCCATCGGCTGTCATCTTCCTCCCTCGACGACGTTAACCTCTCAAATTCAAAAGAGGACGAGGAGACCAACGGCACGGGACCTCCCCTGTCTCCTGACCAACACTCGGATGCTCCTCCAACACTTCCGTCTAAAGATTCACCCCCCAGCCAAACCCGTCTACAAGGCCTATCAGCTTCAGTCCCCTCTGCTCCTTGGGGTGCGCCGCCCACGACAAAAGCTCTTCCTCCAGCTCCTCCAAATGCTCCAGCTCCCCCATCAAGAAAGCTCACCAGTCCATTTTCCTGGCTTTCTAGAGGAAATACAAAGGATAGCAAGAACTCGTCGTCTACGAATGGAGCTAGGAGGAATACAGGAGCCTCTGTGTCTACAATCATGAGCAACTCAGAACACCTCGGGAGACTCCATGAAGGAAGCGATGGAGAAACCGGAAGTTTGGACTCCCGAGGCCAGGTACGGAATAGTTTGAAAGATCAATTCAAGCTGCTGAGGCTGCAGGATGAAGGTGTTCCTGTTGGAACCGACGACCAGGCTAGCATTGGGTCGGGGGAAGGGAAAGGATCTCGCTCCTCTGTTGGCATCCCAGGGTTAGACGCAGGCGAAGCTGCTACTTCGGCTGCTCCCTTACCGTCTCCAATAGCAACGTCTCCGCTTCCCTCCACAGTCAACCCGGAGCTACCTCCCGGAACGGTATCCGGCTTTTCAGCATCTGCTACAGATGCCTCAGCGCCGGTCGACTGGGAGCTCTGGCAACAGGTTGTGAATAATGGTCCTGAAGCATTAGCCGGGGAAAACTCGGAGAAATTGAATGCTGCGATCAAACGAGGTATACCACAGACAATTCGTGGTGTAATATGGCAGGTACTTGCGGATAGTAGGAATCCTGAGTTAGAGCATGTGTACCGGGAGCTTTGTGCGCGCGGTACAGACAAGGATCCGAGCCGGTCACTCAGCTCGACGTCCATAGTATCTATCAACGCAAATTCTGCTGGAAGCCCGAAGGAAAGGGAGTCCATCTCCTCTTCCCGTTCCTCAATACGCTCTGATAGCTCTACCCAGGCTACCAGCTCCATTCATGGGATTGCTACTGGATCTGCGTCAGAAAAGGACTCTGACTCAGTAGCAAAGGCAAAAGCTGCCCTAGAAGCTGAGCGCAAGAGACGGTCAAAAGAAGATGCAGCTGCCTTGCAAAAGCTGGAGAAGCAAATCCGCCGAGACCTCGGGTCCCGCACAAGCTATTCAAAGTATTTCATGTCCCAACGCAACCAGGAAGGCTTGTTCAATATTTGCAAAGCCTATGCTCTATACGATTCCGGCGTTGGCTATGCTCAAGGGATGAACTTCATTGCTATGCCACTCCTGTTTAATGTAAGTGAACTTGTTTCAACCCTTGCTGCGATCCCAACTAACATAAACCTTATGCAGATGGATGACGGTGAGGCATTCACCCTTATGGTAAAGCTTATGAACAAGTATGGGATGCGAAACATGTTCATTCAGGACATGCCGGGCCTCCATCTCCACCTCTATCAATTTGAGCGTCTGCTAGAAGACCTACAGCCTGCACTTGCTTGCCACCTGCATCGACGAGGCGTTTCTCCAGGGCTCTATGCGACACAGTGGTTCCTTACCCTCTTTGCTTATCGTTTCCCGCTCCAACTTGTTCTTCGCATATACGATCTGATATTCGAAGAGGGCCTTGAAAGCACCATCTTACGATTTGCTGTCGCCATCATGCAACGAAATGTAGAAACACTTCTTGCTATGAATGATATGACCACCTTGACCAACTTTGTCAAGGAAAAACTATTTGATGTATACATCGATCAGCAGCCAACTCCTAGCTCGATTCTTGAATCTGGGTTCTTCGGCAGCTCAGGGGCAAATGATAAGGAAATCTACCGTGCAGATATCATGGTGGATGATGCTTGTGCCATTCCCCTGACACCTGAAATGATAAAGACTTACACAGAAGAGTGGGAGCAGAAGACCCGTGCGGAGAAAGAGCTTGCGGATGAGCTAGAGAACTATAAACATACCATCGCTACTCAAGCCAGCCGAATCCGCTCTTTGGAAGAGCATGCAGAAAAGTCAGACAAGGAACATGTTCAGATAGCATCCGAGCTTGTTCGGGTCAAAGTCGAGAACGAAGAACTCAAAGATATGAATGAGAGTATGAAAGTCGAGGTAGTAGAACTCAAGGCTGTGATAGACAAACAGCCCGCAGAGCTTGAAGAGAAACTCCGGACCGAAATGGACCGTATAATGCAACGAAATATCGAGGTACAAAATGAAAACCGGTCCATGGAGGAGCAAATGGCAGAGATGGAAAAAGATTTGGTCGAGACAAAGATGAAATGGGCAGAGGTACGTATCATCGTATAACTTTCTTTCCACGCGGGTTCCTGCGAGAAAAAAAAAAAAAGCAAAAGAAGAGAAAAAGAAAAGAAGGAGGGAAAAAGAACAAATTCCCTTGGACCGTTAAACATTGCGTAGTTAACTGACTTTGTGGTTTTCAAACGTCTAGCTATCGCAAAGCCATGAGGCGCTGCAGCAGAAGCTCGGAGATTTACGCAAGACACTGAATCAATAATAGACTTCAATTGCCGTCTCCGCTCGATTTCACTGAACTTCGGTTTAGCCTTGATACCAAGAGTTCACTGTGTATACCTCGATTCACCATCCATCCCCGGTGTTGGTGGTGCAGAGTATAGACATGTATTGTTCTATTACGTCTTTGGAAACACAGCCCAGACTGTATTCTGCTAGCTATCTCTATCTCACTATCCGGATTTCCTCGGGGCATATCTACTTCAAATGTATCCTTTCCCCCCTTTATCTTTGTATGTATATGGGTTGGGTTACCCTTTTTAGCGTGTCCGTTGATCAATTTCTCGCATGGCATAGACTCCGCTGCTCCAGGTTTATCCCCTTGTGTTCCGAGTTGACTTACCGGGATTGACGGCACCGATAGACCTATTTTCCCCCGGTTGCTTAATTGTTGAGGACTTAATAGAGGTATTATTGACTACCATCGGCTATGGCTAC